TAAAACCAGCCATCACAACTTGTATGTGAATTTCTACTATATCATTTACTGGTGTGATAACTTAGGACGTTTGCTTTTTAGGCTCATATGCTATGGAACAATAGACACCTATGGGTTTCCTTATAAGGCAAAATTAATTAATGCACTTAGAAGGTACCTGGGCACCAAACTGGGTGTTTGTCTTGGTTAGGTTTCTAGTGTTGTGATAAAACACTAGGACCAAAAGCAACTAGGGTTGGAAAGTGTTAATCTCAACTTGCATTTCCACATCATAATCTGTCATCAAAACAAAGGCAGGGCAGGAACTTAAAGGCAGGAACTGAAGCAGAAGCCACAGAAGAACTCTGCTTCCTGGCTACTTTTACAGTGGGATTCTCTCATAAAACTCAAGACCACCTTCCCAAGGGTTACGCCACCCACCGTGAGCTGGGCCTTCCCATATTAGTCATGAATTAAGAAAAATACCCAGAGGCCAATCCTAATTGGGGCATTTTCTCAGTTGAGGCTTCCTCTTTCCAAATGACTCTAGCTTGTGTCAAGCTGGCATTAAAACTAGCCAGCACCACACCCAGTGAATGTTGTTGCTACAATTGTCTTTATCTAAGTGATTAGTACAATGACATCATAGTCTAGATAGAGCAGCTGACTATACAATGGACAAAGGGTAGTGGGGAATTAGTTTGTGTTATTCACGCTAACTGCATGCTTGTGCAACTAGATTTATCAGTCATGCAACGAACTGTGTGTGACTTTGGGGAAGTTTTTTTCCTTTTCCATGCTTCTAGCTTCTAGCTGTAAAATAAAGGCACTGAACGATATCAACGTAGCAAATAACTTTAATCCCTTATGTCAACTCTAGTTGATCTGTTGTGGGCACCTGGGAAACAGATTTGAAAGGATTCTGAGGTCTGGTCTGGAATCGTTGATAAGTATGCTGTGATCTGTTAGCAATGCCCATGATGGACAAGGAGGCCAACGGCAACTGTTCTGAAATTTTCCAGGCCTAGACATAATGTTCTTCAGGACCTTCCCTAGCTCCCTTGATTTGTTTTCAGGGTCTGCTTAATGGACATGTGAGGCTGTGGGTGACAGCCGATCCATCTTGAGGATTCTGAACATACAGTGTCTTTGGAATAGGAATAGAGGCAAATAGTCCTGTCAAGAATCTGAAAACCTGTCAGAAAGTTGTAAGGCCTCCTCTAAGAGAGACAAAGCTTTCTTTGAGACCTCATTGTAATTTAAGAATTATAAATACATACATACATACATACATACATACACACACACACACACACACACACACACACACACACACATACATACATACATACGGAGGAAAATGGGATGGTCCCCTAGAGTTCTGCAGATAATCCTGCTCGGGCTGCCTCATAGGTTGGGGTGTCTTGTCTTGTAGGTTTCTGACAGTAGCATTTAGCAAATCTAAATGGACATTGGAAATAGCAATTTCCTGAACTGCACAGAAAGTTACAGGTTTCGAATCACTGTTGTATAACTTTGAATATGGGGCACAGATAGAGTATTTTGGAAACTAATTTAGCCACTTTTAATATTCAAAGTGTGAGGCGGAGGGGGTCTGTCTTCAGTAGTTCTCAGTGAACTTCAGCAATGGGGTTTGACTTCCAGGAGCCTTCTACAGGAAGCCCGGGTATGGGTCTTTTTTATCAGCTCTCTGTTCTCATAAAGCAAAATGAGATAACTCCTTTATCCACTGGCATTTTATTGTCTTAAGCACAAGTTTCTTTCCGAGGGATTTGGGGTGCCTGCCTTACCTGAGCAAGCTTTTCTGATTTGACAGCAGATCTTTTTCCTCACAGACCGCCTCATCCACATCATAGCACGGCTTCCATGCCCTTCTCCTGTGTGCTCCACTGCAGAAAGCTGCAGCGGCTGTGAACTCAGATCCCTGCCGAGCAGAAATCACCTGCCTGTCACCACACGGTTACACTACTTTTAATGGAAGCATGCCATTTCAGATGACTTTCCTTGAGACAACACTACACGTGCTTTTTGCCCTGAGCGCCTCCTCCAGTCTGGCACTGTGCTGGAAGGACAATCTTACAGGGGAATCTATGAATAGGATGGCAGTAATAAGCAGCTGAAAATAATCTGTGAGGCGTTTGTAAATTGCCCCTCGTGAGCTGTAGTGCTCAAGAAAGATAATTTGTGGTTCTTGCAGAATACCCTGAAAACTGGGTCTTTCATCTGCTGTGCATTTTGCAATTAAAACATTTCATTTCTCATATTAGCAAATGATAACTCCACATTTGTTCATCTAAACAACTTGATTTATATTTTTCTGTTCTGAGGAGCTGTTGACATTTCAGAGTAAGTAATTATTTTCACTGCCAACTGCTGTGTGTGGTAACTGTAGGCAAATGATAGAAATCTGAGTCTACATATGCGTCACTTACCTCCTTTTGCTTAAAGACTACCTATTAAGCTAGAGGCCTTTTGAGTGGGTTATCATCTGTACATCGACATCTAATAGGATCAGGGTGTTGACAGACGAGGGTTGGAGCCACGTTCATGGTTTGTGCAGTGTACTAGAAACTCTTTTATGTAATCTCTGAGGGGAGAGGGCAAGGCTGATCTGCAGCGTCGCCAAACCACTGACAGGGCATAGTACACTCATAGTCCTAAATCATTTGTTAGAGAAGGCATATGCTGCTGGCCCTGGGAGTTCTTAGGGTATGTGATCGCTGCCCAAGTATCCATGGGGCGAGTGTCAGAATTCTATGAGGAATGCTCATGAGAGCCATGCCTGCTAACAATGTGAGCCTGGAAAACATTTGGTCAAATCGAGAGGAAGAATAAAGGAACCTTCTCAATTTCCTCTTGCATTGCGTTCTTAGCCAAAAAAAAAGAAAGAAAGAAAGAAAAGGAAGGGAGGGAGGGAGGGAGGGAGAGAGAGAGAGAGAAGAAAAAGAAAAAGAAAAGAAAAAAATTGCAGTTAGGACAATGGAAAGAAATGCTTTTTTCAGTTTGAAAGTAGCTGCTACGTCCTTAGAATAGAAACTCAGTCACACAGCTGAATTGAGCCACCTCAGCACAAAAGACTGGAGGTGTCAAGGCAACTGACAGCCTATGTAGCTGTGGGCCTTCTCTGGGAACTGTTGGTGTTCTGCTCTTTTCCGTGTTGTAATTATTTATGCATATTAATTGTACACACTAATGAGTTTCGCTGTGACCATTCACATTTAAACTTCTTCTCCTAAAAAAATTTATCTAGCTAAATTGATACGCCAAAAAGTCTGGCCTTAGCCCACTGGTATATACAAGCTTTACATTGCTTATAGCACACTAGACATCTGTCCATCCCAACATGTGTATGTCCCATTTGTATTCCAGTTGAGGAGTAGACAACTGACTGGGGATCCAAACCAATTTTTACATGGCCTTGAGGGGTGAAGTCGAGCCAGTACCCTGAATGGCAAATGTGCTTTATCCTTTGAACCAACTCCAATTGATTAGTTCTGGTTGCCTATAGTGCTGTCTTAAGAAACCATCTGTGGTATATTTGAGGCTCAGCTGGGAAAAGAGCTGGGATTGATTAGCAATGTCTGTCATGGACTCTAGAGGAACAGCTTGCCCCATATTTGTCATTTTCTGCTTTTAACATGTCTTTAACTCCTCTGTGCTCTCTTCCTGTGTAAAATAGTTATAATCCTAAAAAGTGCCTGTAGTATACACAGAAAGAGTAAGTATAGGTATATTCCACTTTAAGAAACCCTAGCATAGAAATGCAAATTTGGAAAAAAATGCATCAATCTGGAGCCAATTATTTCCATTACAGAAAAGATTCCATGAAAGGTTCCTTTAAATAGCGAGCTCCCCTGCTGCATTAAAATGATGATTCAATTTATAAAAATTCACTTTGCATGCAACTCTCTTAGACCAAGTCTGTGGACTTTGCAAGCCATACCTGAACTTTTTAAAGCCATGCTACAGCACCAGCCAGGTTGTCTGCCCCCGAGTGCCTCAAGTCCCCCCACCCCAGTAACTCCCATTCCCCCTCAAACTTCCTTCTTATTTCCTATCCCAGAGTGTTGAGCATACAATCTGGGTGGTGATCAACAGCTACTGGCTCCCACCCGACACGGCTGCATTTCATTAGTGGGTAAGCTGATTGCTCTGAGGGTGTTTATGTGTGGGTGTAGCTGTACAAATCCATGCCCTCTGTGCACTGCATATGCAGATGCAAAGACACAACCGCCATTCAGCCTAACCTAAATCCATCCCTGCTGCGAGAGTCCTAGGGTAAGGTTCCAGTTGATTGGTGGATATGGCCTCTTGATGCCCTGTATTCTAGTTTACCATTTCTGTGTTCCTTCACATCAAAACCTTGCCCAGGCCTGAGTCCCATTATCCAGACATGAAACCTTTGTCTTCCTCTACAGCTTAGAGATCCCCAAATGGTTTTCTGATTTAGAAAATTAAATATAATCTGACTCTTGTGGCCAGCTATGAAATTCCCAACCAACAGACATTTCCACTAAATATGTAACATACACAACATCTAAACGTCCCACCAATCTAGCATGAACTTGAATTATAGAGGCATCCAGTACTGGTCGGGTAAGAGTACCAGCCTATTCCCAGGCACTCCAACTGGTGGCCCCTGGAGCTGCTAAAAATGCCTATTGGCACACATATCAGAATGCTTGTTGCTTTGCAGAAGCAGCTTAATCCAGAGACTGGTACCTAAAAGAGATGACTTCACTCTTCTTTTTGTTCCTACACATAGACTTCTTGTCATATCCTCTCAGTTGTAAGATATGAGTGTCTATTTTATCTATGGTGTCTAAAAGCTGAAGCATAAATTTCTTTCCATTGAGTACTTTGTTTAATATTTTGGACACATTTTTTTTCTTGGTTGTTTTGAAAGATAAAACATGGGACAGGAGCAGGGAATACATCAGGCACACTCACACATTTCTTCTGGCCCTCAGTGATCAAGAGGGACTTGGACATAAAGACTCTCAGGCTGGTGAAATGTCCATTGGTTCCTTACTTCCTATCTTCTCAGACTTCCTGGTTGGTGCCAAGAGTCTCCCTTGGTACTGGGCTGTGATAGCTGCATAGGTACATCCATAGATAGCAGCTGCCAACATCATGAGACATACGATCCCACATACCACCCCAGTGATGACCACAGTGGCCACAGCATGGCGTAGGTTGGTTGGCTTTGCTTTGGGTTTGGTCTCACACTCCAAGGGATCTTGCTGTCCCGAGCTATTCTCAGGAGACTTCTGGGGATCTTGCGGGGCAGAACCAGGTTGCTGGACTAGTGGGGGTGCCAAATCTTGAGAAGGTAGAGGACAGGGTTGGTATAGTTCATGAGGAATGGAGAGGAGATCCTTTCCCTTCCAATGTTCAGGCAGCCTGCAGATGGCACCATCTGTTTCTCCCCCTTCAAGAAACAAAGCAAAGAGTGATGATGGAGCTTTGATACAACAGTTTTCCAAAGTCCTCAGCCTGCCACAGACTAAATAGGCAATTATTTATGGTTAAGAATTTGTTAGGAACCAAGTTACCTTAATATTATATAAAGGCTGAGGGGACCACTGGGCATATGCTAACAGAGAATGTGTTGGCCTAACATCTAAGGACACTGTAGTCTCCAGTCTTCCTCCCACCTACTGCCCATCACACAAGAATCCTTTCTTGCTGGATTCCCACTGAAAATCAAAGAATAGATAGAACAAATATTTACTGTTGTCATTAGTATGCTAATTCCAAAGACCCGATATGATATCTCTATCAACACTCTTTAGAGAGGCAGAATGGTGATTTCTGAGTTTTATGTACCTGAGCATTTGACAATACCATACATTGCTCTTGGCATTTAAGTAACTCATTGTCTTGGGCCTCATGACATTTACTACTTTGAATGCCAAATGTTCCAAAGAGTTATTAAATGTAGGTTTAGGTCTCTATAAGGTAATTGATTCCTTGGGGCATCTTTGGTAGTTAGTTATCCTTTCATGGGGTACTGGACTCCACCTCTTCACCCTATCCTGTGTAGCCACTGGTACACTATTTGACTTTGTGGGAACAAACTTCTTAAAGTTTTATGTCATCAGAACATCCCAGTTGTGCCTGACTTGAGAGTTTTAAGTCCTCACCCTCCATCTTATAGGGAATTCTTTTTAAAATCTATACAGGGCATGAGTGGATAAGTCAACACCCAACCCCAGCCCCCAGTATACTCCCCTCCCCTATTTTTTTTCACTAGTTTATCCTGGGACCAGTACAGAGGCAGAAAAGCCTACTAGACTGGCAGGACCCATAGGTCCTATGGCTAGTTTCTCTCAGGCTTCCCTAAATCCTCAGCAGGTGAGGTGGACATGCTTCCTTAGCAAATACAGATTACAGATTCTCAGTAGACATCATAGGGAATTGTTTTAAGTTAATGCCAGAAAAGCACATATGGAGGTTGTCACTTCAGTGTTATTGTCTCATGCCACTACATAGTAATTTAGGGCTTGGGAGATATATGCCCACACTTCCTATCTAATCATCTTAAGACGAGTTGTGAGTGCCCTATAAATAGACAGAGCCACTCCACAATACAAGAGCTATCACATGACCCAGAAACAGCAGGCTTGGTGACAGGGACAAAATCCAATACATACTCTTTCTGCTGCCACTGCTTAAAACTGAATGATACATGACAAGACTCCCTTGGGCCTGTCCTGGCTTCTTTAGCAATCCCTTGAGTTGTGAATCCCAGCTTTAAAGCAGTAAGATCAAAGTGAAGTTTCCTGAGCCACTAGTGTTCATGAAGCTAGAGGGCCCAGGTGGCTGCTCCAGCTGAGCCAAGGGCCCCTCCCAGCTGAGCTGAGATGAGGGGCTCTGCCTCTGTGGGAGCTTATCTCCCTTAGCACCTGGCTATGGTGGCTCTTACAAGGGCCTTTATGTCAAGGCTACAGAGACAAATTCCCTAGGGGAGCAAAAGCATTTCGTCCAACCAAAGCATGATGAGGTTTCCATAGGAGAGCCCAGACTGCTCTGCTATGGCAGGCCGCTTCATTGGCTGATGTCCACCTCAGCTATGGTGTACTGTGTAGTCACTGCAGGCTCATTCTTGTTCTGTAGTCACTTTCCTCTCCAGTATGGTGCTAAAGTCCACAGTCTTGAGACTCGGGGCAAAGGACAGGCCTACAGTGAATGCCCAGACACAGCAGGAAGGTGAGGCCTGTGCCTGGTACTGTCTCAGTAGCCTCCTGTGCAGCTGTGACCTTAGCCAGGATCCTTCTCACAACTCCACCACCTTCTCAGGGACCATCAACCCAGAGGCAAGTCTGCTAGTTGCAGCATGAGGGTCGCTCTCCCTTTTTGACTTAAAAAAGCTGATGGACCAACCCTCCCCCTCTCAGTCCCCAACCTCCAACTGTCCCCCATCGCACTTCACCTCTGTCTTGGAAGAAAGTTGGTTCAAATCTTAAGTCTCTATATGACTTAGCTATGCAGTTCTGGAAAGTTCCTTACTCACTCTGAGCCTCTGCTTGCATTCCTGGAAAGCGAGAGAGGCATAATAATAAAATTTACTTTTCAAGATTGTTCTGATGACCAGGATGGATAAATTGTGTCACGGGTTCAGCATGGCACTGCCATACCTCACTCAGTACCCATTTCATAGTTAACCATGAACAACAAAGTATAGGTTCATATGGTAATAAAGGGTGACTACATACCATCCTGTGTGCATCGTTGGGTAAAGGGGAGACTATTTTACAACAACCAAAGCAAATCATTTTGCCCTTAGGCCTACAGGATTCTAAGTTTTCCATTTCGTTGGGTTTCATTTGAAGCCACATGACTGAGTTTTACCCACTTCCAGCACACAGAATCCTCCACGATGTTCTTCTGTGTGCTGTGTTGAGTGGTGACCTTAAATGTCATGTGGTGAAGTTAATGGTATCGCCATCTAGAGGAGGCTTATGTCCCCAAATGACTATGTGGAATGCAGACCTGGGATGCAGATCTTACTCCCAGTTCCCCTGGACTCAGGCATGGGTAAGTGATAGACTTCAGTACAGATGACTGAAATCAGGTAGTTGGTAATGTTAATCACCCTGCTTTGACTGGTACCTTCTGTGTTTGCAGTTGTTTATGGAGGTTCAGAATAGCATTTGCTCCCTTAGCTTAGTTTTAGGCATTAATTTTAGGCTTAGTGTGTGCATAAGCAGACCATCTCCTGAGTCTTTTATCTAGTCAGTATTTTTCCTTTCCTGATGCTGGGACACCAGATCATGGTACCCTGAACTGATTTTACCTTCCTCTGAAAAAGGCCATTATATGTGCTTTAGAAGCATTGCTATAAAGGAAAGTTTACTGCACTGATGGCTCAAGGGACCAAAATCAGCCCCAATACTATCGCTTGGTAGCACTACATGCTAGACAAAGGCCTTTCTTCACATAAGTTTGTGATTGCATAGGAGAATACCATCCTTGTCTGTGTGATTTTCTGGGTGTCCTAGGTCTGGAAACTGCATATTGATTTTACATTGGACAATATTCTTTGATGAAAACTCTCTTCCTGGGATGGTCTGTTTAATGCCTATTATTTAATCCAGAAAGCAATGGCACTAGCCACCTCACCTCCAGACATGTTTGGTTTTGGTCTTGACCTCTCAGAAGGATGTTACAAAGTTATATAGTTGCCTTTGAGAGCTAGCTTCAATGGCAGCTAGTTGGCGATGCATCCATTGCTCTTAGACTACTGAGAAGCTTCCAACTTGTGGTGTGGCAACTTTGAGCTTCTACCATACGTAGACTATGCCTCCAGGTGCTGCTTTTCCCGTAACTCTTCTGCAGCCCTCAGGTCTCCCTGGCCTTAAGCATACAATTACCAACAATACCCCCACCCCGAAGTGGGACAAGTACTTCAAATATGTCACCTTCCTGAGTCTTCCACTGAGCACCTCTGCAGACTCTTCCCTGCCTCCATTTCCTATCTGCTAAAAGCATCCTCATTTATGTATTTACCAAGCAGGAAGAAATAACAAAACAATCTTCCATAACTACTCTTCCCTTCTCCCAGTCTGCCACCCTCTCCAAACCCTCAGCCCTTTCTACCATGGCACTGTTCCAAATGCTGGTCGCTTGTTGCCATCTTGGTCTAGGCCACTGTCATCTCTTCTTTGCTCCACTGAGATCACCTCCCCCTTCTTCTCGCTGGCTCTTCTTCAGTGGCCTTTGCTCTGCCCTCTCAGAGTCAGCGGCCTGGCATTTTACACAGTGGTCAGATCATACTGTTCCCTAGACAAGAATTCCTCAGAACTTCCCACCTCCCCTAGAATAAAATCCAGACAGGACACCTGTTCTGCACATGTTTAGAGACTGGAAGGGCACCCAAGATGTGCTGTGCGTTATCTCCACCCACTGACTCACTCTCTCCTCTGCCTTTCACTAAGCCAGGCTAGCTTCTTCACCAAGCCCTTTAGGCATGCTGGGACACCCCCCCCCCCCGTCGCCCACAGTGATCTTCTGTTCCTTCTTTTCATTGTTCTGGTTCACATATATGCCATTTTCTTGGGGGCCTTTTCTTTCCTATCCTATCTAAGCTGGAGCACGTTCCTTTCTAACATCCTGCTCGCTCCCCTCACTCTCTTACCACTGCTCTCTGAATGCATACATTTTTTGTCTAATATAGTGTCTTTCTTTTTACCCTTCCAATGAAACCTTCATAAAGATAAGTATTTCCTATTCACTGCCTTTTTCTCTGGGTCTAGTGTACTGCCTGGAACGTCAAGAACGTTCAAGGAGAGGAATGAGCGAATGGTGCTCAGAGAAGCAATGTGGGGTTCAGGAGAGACCCCAAAGCCAAGGGCCAACAGTCCCGTTTTCCATTCTCATTTGTTCTTTGCCTCTGCAACCTTAGGCTGGTTATTGAGCTTCTTTGGGCTTCTGTTTCCCATTGACAACTAAGGTGGCCAAACTTTTCTCTCAGATAGCAAAGGCTGTGAGGTGTGCTGTATGGTCTTTGTCACAACTATTCCAGTTTGCTTTATAGTATAAAATAGCCACCTGGTACATAATGAACAGGAAAAAATGCACAGTTTTTTTCCCTTAGTCTACACTTTATTAACCCTGGAGTAATTTCCAAAGTTTACTCTCTCTGATATTCTGAGGTCTGTCACTTAGATTTGAGCTTCTGATTAAAGAAATAGTAACTTCAGAGAGGGAAACGTCTGGGCCCAATTTCAGTATTCAATAAGATTTATAGCCATTTTTGGGTAGACCTTGAAAGAGGGAGAAGCTGGCCTAAGAAGGGAGAGGCATATCCCAACTCAATCACACTTGGAAATTAAAGCTGAGGATGCTTTGGTATATAATTCCCAGAGAGAAGCCCATGCTGTCTGCATGCACACCATGATGAACATAAACACCGAAATGGAAATGTCCTTCAAACTCTTACTCCTCTCCTGAAGTCGACATACTTCCATGTGAAGATACACAAAAGCCTACAGCTACCCTGTGCACCCTCCTCTACCCTCTAGAGATGCTATGTCTGGCGACACACAGAAAGACACACTACTGACCTTCAAAAGTGAATCTCTCCAGCCAGAGTTTCAGACCCAGCAAGTGGCAGTCACATTTCCAGGGGTTGTCCTTAAGAAGTACCAGCCTCACCTTTGGCATGGCCTCTAGAAGTTTACGATCCAGATGTAGAAGATGGTTCTGCTGTACAGCTAACATAGTCAGGTTCTCCCAAGGCCTGCCCAGAGATGCGGGGAGGATGCTGAGGCTATTGGATGATAGATCCAGCACCCTGAGCCCAGGCAGGGCATGGGCAAAGCTGCTTTCTATGGAAAGCAGGGAATTTTGGGTTACATTTAAAACCTGTAAATGCGGAAGTCCATAGAAAGCCTCTGCAGCCAGATTTGAAAGAGAGTTATTAGATAAATTTAAGGTGGTAAGCTGAGGTACAGACCGAAATGCAAGAGCAGGAAGCCAGTGGATCTGGTTATCTTGTAAAAGCAGGGTTATTGTCCATGGGGGTAGATCAGGGGGGATCTTAGACAGCCTCTGGCCACTGCAGTCCACAGAGTTTGAAGATGGGTGGCACAAACATTTCTTGGGGCAGCTGTCCACACCTGGGAGCAGGATACCCACACTGGAAACCAGCAGCAGAGCACCTAAAACAAAGAGGTGAAGAGGGTGGGATGGAGGCCAGTGTATGAAATCTGGTTGCCATCAGCCAAGGAATTCCCAGGTAGTGTGGTCCTGAGCCAGCAGTGCCTTCCACCCAGCTAGAAAGGAGGTCCTCACCCTTATCAGAATTGATCTGAGTACACCCAGGCTGGTCACTGAGGCTAGCTCTGAGCTAGCCATTGTCAGCAGCCTTGGAGAAGGGACTTCTACTGTGACTCGATCATCAGACTGTTTAAGCTTAATGTCACATGAAATGGTGTGGGGAAAGTCATTCTGAGACCTGTGTCCTTTGGAGTTCAGAGCCCGGTGTGTGGGCTGTCAGGTAGAAAGGTAACAAAGGAGCTTATGCCTGTATTCTAAAAGGACCACTCCAGAGGCGGGTAGGCCAGTTGAGCTTTGTATGGTGGTAGAAATGTTCTGTGCCTGTCCTCCAACATGGATGTCACTAGACACCTGTAGTTCTTGAGCTCCCAAAATGTGATTTCTACAACTCAAGAACTGACTTTTAATTTTGACTTGGTCTTAATTCATTTACACTTCAATTATCAGATGTGGCTTCAGGTGACCATATTGACTAGGGGATGCCTTGCAAACAGCTGTCTAGATTTGCAGGTATAACCCCATCTGTGATGATCCTCTTTCTCCTTTTTTTCTATGATGGTTTTAACAATTACCAAAAAGCATTAGAAACAATATAAGACATATCCTTATTTCTGAAACTAGTATCGGTCACTCATAGATGATCAGACTTCCGTCATCTTCTTGCTTCTTACTGAGAAGTTCAATGCTTTAGTGGGGCACACAACCTTCTGATCACCTCTGGTTCTCCTCACAGAAGCCCCTTCATAGACCTACTCCACAGAAGCCCCACAGAAACCTGCTTTCTGTCTTCAGACACACTCAAAGCAATAGTCACTGTGCTAGGATTAGAGGTATGTAGTACCATCGTCAGTTTTGTAGTGTTGGGGATCATACTCAGAGCTCTGTGCAAGCTCGGCAAGAACCACCAACTGAGCCCTAGCTCCTGGCTTCTTAATACTATTCAATAAATGCTATCAGAGTTGAAATGTTTATAACATGTCCAGCTTGAGTTGAAATAGGGAGGTATGACATATTACCTGAATATTCTTTTGAGATCTTTAGAGTTATCTAAGGATTTTTTCCCCTGAAGCTGAGGACTAAACCTGGGGTCTTATGCTTGCTCATCAAGTGCCCTACTCCTGAGCTAAATGCTCGGATCATAAAGGTGCCATCATGTACTCAAATTTCCTCAACTTACCGTAAGATCCAACATTTCCAGAGTTGGAAGTATTGGGAGCTTATCTTGGGCATGGTTTGGAAGGAACCTATTAGGTATTCCTTCTGATTTCTATTTCTGTAATTGCTAGAGATAATCACTGAGATAGAATGGTGTTATGCTGAGCTTGTAAAATGCAGTAGATAATAAGGACAATAGCAAATGACCAGATGGCATACACTGCATGACAGGGATCAATCCGGCTTTATAGGTATGAATCCACTCTAATGACCTCATCAACATGGTTGTTTGTCTTCAACGTTTTGAAGGAAAAAAAAAAAAACAGGCATAGAGATGCTGAGTCACTCTCCAGGGTCACAGAAACAATAAACAATCAAGCATAATTTGATCCCAGACTGTCTACAGAATCTGTGAGAATTGTTATTTGCTGTATTACTCTGCCAGATATTCAAGAGAGATATGGTACAGCAACTGGGGTTGGATTTGCCCAATGCTATATTGTTTGTTTGTTTAATCCACATAAATGTAATCATGTTTATCTTATTCTGCAATTTGTTCTGTTTAGTCAAAACTATGTATCCATATGAGTACTTAGGAAGCTTCTTTATTTCTTTTAACTAATAAGGCGTATTCCATGTGTGGCCATGGAAAAACTCAGTGTTCACTCATCCCTCACTTAGGAACATTTGGGCTGCCAGGCTTCCCTACTCAGCACAAATGATGCAGCTATATAGGAATGTGGGTAACTGCTCCCCAAAATACAAAGTGGGTCTCATTGTATGACTCAGAGAATTGTTATTTTCTTAAAAGGCTGTGTGATCATTCTTTAAAGATATGGTTTCCCTCCCTTTTTTCTCTTGGGATTTGAATTTCTAAGTATGAGAAGCACGTGTCAAGAGTGTTTTGTTGGAATGTAGAGGTCTCGATAGGGCCATGGAATGCTATTCAAAACAAAATGCTTATCAACACAGAGGCTTTCAAGAGGCAGTTATTTATTTATTGTTCTGGTTTGCACCTCACCTAGAAAAAAATACAGCATGACTGTCAAATGTTCTATACCTTGATCTCCTGGCTGCTGGTGCCCAGGCCTATAGGACCAGGAAATGAGGAGCTTTCCAAGGGAAAGCTGCTTGCTTTGATTTAGTTCAAGAGACACAGAGCATCAAAGTCCACTTCTCCTTCTTCAAACAGAAGTCTACAGCCCTTGCTTTTCTGTAATTTTTCAGATATCTAACTTCTTTCAAAGTTCAAATAAATGACTTTCCATTAGAAATCATCTGACACCATCACTGCGACCTGAGCCACAATGATGAATTAATTGCAGGAAATCAATCCTTAAACACCAGGGTACCCACCCAGTCCATTTATCTCTTAATAAAAGGCTTATATTCCTGATATGGGGGCCAATTTGCCTCCCACTTCCCCAAAGGAAATAATATATGAACTCTAACTCAAGGCACCATGTTGTCTATGAAATGGCCCATGACAAGCCCACTACATGTCCACACCACAGCTATCCACATTTGTCTTCAGTTCCCTTTCCCCGATGCTCAGCATGGTGACACATCCATCTTCCCACTGAGAGAGATTTTTTTTTTTAAGAAAGACAGGTTGAAAATTGACTTCGCACAGACACTTCTTGGGGGGATTCCTCCCTTCTCTCAGTGGGGGGCGGCTTCTGGGGTAAGGGCAATGGAATCCATTCCTGCTCACCTTTCATGGCTCAGGCTCTGCAGCACAAGCCCTCATCCAACATAGATCCCAGCGTGTGTACTCACAGATCAACATGCACAGGCTACCGCAGACGTGGAGCCCAGCTTTCCATTCACTTTCCTTGAATCCAGCATGGGCTTTTCTTCATTGCCGAAAGCAGTTGCTGAATTCAGGAGGTCAACTTATTTAAGCAGCCTGTCCCCTTGTCTCTGTCTGCTGTGGTCCTTCTTCATAAGAGGGTCTTTTGATTGTGTCCGGTCTCTTTTCGGAAAAGTGTCAGCCTCCCCGAGATCTTCTCTGCCTCTCCCATTCAGACAGCAAACCACATAAAGAATGTTGGTCAGACTTTGGTGAACAGCTGTAGCATTCAAACATGACCCCAGTGGCCCGGCCTTTTGATTATTTAATCTGCTTGAAGTCCAGGGCACCAAAATAAAACAGCCTTCTTAATCCGGCTGTGGCTTCTGCATTCTCTTGACTTATCAACCGTGCTGTGTCAACCCTCACTGGGTTGGGGGGATGCATGACACGAATCCCTAACCTGGGGTCTTGCAACAGAGCCAGCAGGGAGTGTAATATGAGAACAAATTGGCCTGCTGGAGGCTGACAGTTTCCATGGGGCACTTCTTTGGCTATCGAGGGTGCATTCAGCTCACATCCTTGGAGATTAGCTGTGTTGACAGGTCCCCAAGCCCTGAAATCCACAGCCATGGTTTCCTTCCATAGGCATTTCAATCCCTCCTCACCAGTGCCACAAATATACCTTGCCTATTGTTTGCTTGCTACACACACACACACACACACACACACCCCTGATGACACACATTGAAATGACCTTTTGGTCAGCATGAAATACTTTATCTTTTTACATGACCTGATGCTGAGGTTCAGACACTTTTCTCAATACTCTTCACATATAAAACAATAAAGCTGGCTAAGTAAGAGCTAGATACCAACTAAGTTGGTTGTCCACCATTAGACAATGCTGTAAGCTTTCCAAATGGGGATTGGAACCAGCTCTTTGCATATACAAATGCCTTGCCCATTGGCTGAAGTGGACTTCCAGTACCAGAAGTGAGCTTTTTTTTTTCTACTCTAGAATGTTCCACAGGCCTTCTATGACAACGTTTCTTGTTCTTTTTATTGAGGTTGCATAAAGCAAACCCAAGAAGTATAGTTGAGCAAATGAGTGTGAACTCTGGAATCAGATAGGTCTGGATTAAGTTTGCCCATACAAAGCCTCACTTCATACAGAGCTAATGGTACCCAATGCTTTACAAGATTACTTCCAGGACTAAGTCTAGCCCGAGTGTCTTCATGAAGACTGAAGGCTACAGTGATCCAGGAAACTGGTCACAGGATTTCTGAGCCACTCTCATTGGAAGAGCTCCAGGAGAAAGCCTGGCTTCTCCTACCACTCTGTAGTCACTGAGGAAGGCAGGTAATCCCTTGTGCATAAGACCTGATATTGTATGTGATTCCGCTCAATAGGCTCTTGGAGGATGCTTTTCTCCTGTGGACACCTGCTTCCCACCTCACAGGCTGTAACATATGTATCCTGCTATTTCTGGAAACTCATCTTTATCCAGCCTGTATTGTTATCTTTCCCTTTGACACCTTTTGCATCTGGTACATCTGTCATTAACCTCCAACTCTTACTATCTACTTATAAAGGCATATCTATCATCCTCTTTCCTCAAGCATAAAATGAAAAAGCTGGGAAGCATTAGCACCTGATTATGTCACAATTGTCATTCTGTTCAGAAGGCATGGACAAACTTGAAGGATACCGCGCTTGCCAACCTTGCTGGTCTTGGAAAGATTGAGTCTTGGAGTATTTTCTTGGGTTGTTGTAGATGGATCTATTTAACTGTGTCATTCAGGACCCACCTTGGGTCTGGCTCTTGGATTCTGAGGCTCGAAAAGGGTATATTGACAGTATAGTTGGATTTGGGAGACCAGGACACCTATAGGGAATATCAAGGGATGAAGGACATGTACTGTTACTGTCAGGCTGTTTTGCTAATGGAAGGTGCCCGCCTTTGCACTGCATTGATGCCGATAATGGGTGATTATGGACTCTCTGAGGCCAGTGTCCTATTTGTAGAATTCAGGGAGATGAAGTTCTGTATGGTAAGCACATAACATGGTTCTGGCAGAGCAGGAGATCTGAAGTGGGATCTTTATTCCCAGTGTATATTCTTAGATCTCCAAGAGTCTGAGCTGGCTGCTCCCACCTAAAACACTAATACCCCTGGATCACAGAAAACCCCTGGAGTAGATGGGTTCCTGGGAGCAGCTGCTTATAGCCCCAGGGAGCTCTTTGGTTCTGTTTGTTCCTGCAGACTTTCATAGGCAACTCAAAGTCGGGCCAGAGCACACATGGCCTGGAAGGCTCCAGGACACGTTGAAGGACTTTGGATGCGAAGGCTGATTGATTTATTCCATCTGACCTCAGCCAAGAGAACAAAGTGAGGCTGCGTGACCTGCATGCTAATGCCTGCAGCGCCTTCCCCACCCCTTCCTGGGCCAGATCCAAGAGGTGGCGAGACAACTGTGCGTGCAAAGGGCGACCCCGAGAGATGCCTGATGCCAGTGCAGGTCCAAGCCATTACCTCAAAAGGAAGCCAGCACTGCAAGAGGCTTCTGCACCAAGACCTAGCAGGACCTCAGTCTCCCAAGGGGGAACTTAACTTTATTTATGTCTACCTCAGAACAACACACTTCTTGTCACCCTGGGCTTTCAGGATGGTCCCACCTTCAAAGACATGTTCTTTTCCTCATTTAAAGTTGCATGTTTTCTTACATAAATTGGTGTAGTTAACATTTCCCTTCCTCCAAAAATAAATCAACAACCATTATTAACTCTCAAAATTGATGATGTTTGGAAATCCAGCATGCACCAGCTCTTTCTTCCAGGCAGCCTTAGACAGCTATTTAAAAAGACTAAGTTAGAACTAATTATATCCATCTGGAAGGAGACTTATAATAAATTATTAAGTGAAGGAAAGCAATTTGTAATGAGAATATGTATTGTATAATCCTATTTATGTAGCAAAAAGAAATTAAAAGTCTAAAATTATTCCTGCCCACGTGTGAAGGTTTGTCTCAAGATGGAGTGAGAGAGAGAATAGTGACCACCCAACCGGCAATGCTGTTAATTGGGCGAGAGTGGTAATTTTAGACAAAAGGACTTTTTTTTTTTTTAATCCTTCTCTATATACTGAACTCGATGCAACGAAATTTTTAAGGCTATAATTTGAAAGCTATAAAGGAAAGGGGCTGCCGCTGTTTAAATACTGAGTAGGGATACATTTTATCTACTGGAAAATTGAGATGACCTGTCCACTGGTGGCTAGCTGAGCTCCGTGTGTATATGGAAAATGTCCACAGATTCCTGTGTCTGATCTCAAGTTTGCCTCCTCTCTTGTCTAAAAGGTGACATCTCTTTCTGAGCTGAGTGGTCTCTGCCTGCCATGATGCCTCTGGATACATCTGATTCTTTCTCTCAGTTTTAATGGCTGCTTTGGTAAAAATAAAATCATGGCAAAATGTCTCTGCATCCTTGTCAGAGGGCATGCCTTGTCAGAGGGCATACTTCAGTGACCTGATGCCAGGGGCAGGTGGCCAAACCCAAGGACAGCTGCAGGAGAGTACGGAGGACGCCATCGGCTTCACACAGGCAGGCTGCAATTCCATTTGGCTCTGGAGGCAGGTTGGCATTTCAATGGCATGAAAATGGGAGTGAAACCTTTTTCCTAGGAACTCTGGGTGATCAGATGTGTGAGGTGTAAAGTCTATACCAGTTGGTAAAAGAGTTCAATGTCTTTAACTTCCTTCTTCCCTCCTTTGCCCTTCCTTCCCTCTCTCATCCTTCCCTCCATAGTCTCTGTCTCCCTGTCTCTCTGACACTCTCTGTCTTTTTCTGTCTCTCTGTCTCTGTCTCTGTCTCTCTCTGTGTCTCTGTCTCTGTCTCTGTCTCTCTCTCTCTCTCTCTCTCTCTGTGTGTGTGTGTGTGTGTGTGTGTGTGTGTATGTGTGTGTATCTGTCTGTTTGTCTATCTGTCTGTCTGCCTATATCTGGTACAGGAGCGAGAGCTGACTTCTCTGTCTCTGGGTCTGCCTCTCTTTTTGTTTGAACTTATTCTGTGTGACACACAACAGAAGGGCTGGAAATCCCTTTTCCATGTCAGTCCTATTTATTGATCATTTATTTTATGCACATAGCAGGTCAAGTGTTGCTACAGATTAGTCTTGGTTAATTCATTTTGGTTATTATACAGAATAATCCCCAGACCTCAGTGGCTTAAAGTATCAGCATTGTATTACTCTGTCATACTCTAATTCACACTGGCAGAGTAACAGGCTTCAGACAGACTCATCAAGGATTCAGGCTTCTTCCATCCTGGACTCTCTCACTCTCAGAGTATCTTCCACTGGTTGGCTGATGGGAGAAGACAATAAATATGTGGCCTGAGCTAGGTCTGGCATGGAACTTGACACAGAAAAATCACATGGACCATATCTAGCAACGAGGAGAAATGTGTTTTGTGGAAGAAGAGGAAACATGGCTTTTGGAGAGAGTTCACTGCCTCTATTACACATGGTATTTGCATTATGTCATTAGAAGATGGCAGCTTTCATGTCTCTGTGCCTCACATGCCATTTTCCTTCCATCTGTAACATCTGCAGCATTCTCAGTGGGCCCACTGTTTATGTGTTAAATGAATGCAGGATGGACATTGTACTTCCCAGGTGAAATGTCCTCATTGGTACATGCGTTTGAAGCCAGTGATGCTGTTCCAGAAAGCTACAGAACTGTTAGAAGATACTGTCTGGAGGAAGTAAGTCAGTAGGGTAGGCTAGGGTTGTACTAGTACTCGTATTATAGCTAGTATTTCTAGCACCAGACTATCTCATCTGTGCTTAGCTTCATGACTATGAACACAATGTGACCCGTAGCCTCAGCTTCCTACCACCAAGCTTTCTTGGCCAAAATGTGCTTTTTCCTCTTCCTTCCTTCCCCGAGTTGCTTACTGTCAGG